CTACTTGCTTCTGAAGGAGGGAAAATAGGACTACAAAGAACAGAAAATGCAAAATAAAAAATTTTGGATAGGAGTAAGTAGGAAAATACAAAAGAAAGTTGGAGGGAGGCAGAGCAAGACACATGCATTTTAAGAGGCACAAATCCATAATAAACCTCTTATTAGTTTTGCTTGGAGAGTAGGTCCCCAACCAGGGCAGCTGGGCAGGCAGCCTGAGGTCTGGACCTGTGGCAGGGAGCAGCAACCTATTAAAAAATCACTTTTTTCCCATATTTTTTTTCCCCCTCTCTGACTTCTAAGAAAAACGATTTGCTCATTTGGTAATAACTGATGTGAATTACTGAACAAGACCCCAGCCTAGTGTCTATCTCCCCATCAATAAATCTCTAAACTGAAGCAATGAAGCTAAGTATTGCTGCTATTTCTGCATTTTATTTCCATATTAATCAAAACACAAGCCCACCTCCACCTCCTTCCTACCCCCATGTAGCTGGAGAAGAGACACCTGTGAAGGCTTGGTCTGTGTTGGAGTTTTCGGGTGGGATTTATGGTGGAATGGGAGAGTGGGGGAAAAAAGGAACCCCACACAACGTACCAAACACCCAAGGCCTAGGGGACTGGTGTGAAATTTGTGGTGAACCTCTGGAGCTGGGGGCAGAGGGTCCTCCCCCATGGGAACTAGGAAGCACTGCGAAAGGAGGGAAAGCTGTTTCCCCCTAAGACTAGCAGCAGTATCTGCCTTCTCCATGGCATGGTTGTGCCGGGACTGAGTGGACAGCAAGGACATGCACGAAAAAAAATGAATGGTGTCCATCCACCTCTGATATATTTATATTTATATCTATATCTATATTTATATGTGTACATACGTATGTATTTTATATATGTGCACACAGACATTACTTCTGTGGTGAAAATGAAAGGAATTTCCTGAGAGCACCAAGCTCACATTTATCCAAGGAGAAGTATGCCTAGTCAAGCTGTCCCCTGCCATGCTGAGTTATGCGGCACCTGCCCCACCATGCCCCAACCCTACAGCCCCACTGTCAGGCAGGGATGAGCCCACAGGATGGGCACTGCTAGTCTCTGCCACCATCGGATCTTTTCCTGATTTCCTATTTCTATCGCTCAACCCCTTTTTTTAATTATTATTTATTTTTATTGTATTTATTTCTCCAGTGTGTTTGTGGAGGTAAACCTTCCTACAGAAAACCCCACTATTCCCCCTTCTCTCCCCATGGGCAGTTTCTCCAGAAGTTGTTCTGTTAGTTGGCTTTTTCCAGGGGAAGGGAAGTTTTGGGAAGAGAAGGGAAAGTTTGGAAAGGTTTGGGAAGGGAAGGTTTGGGAAGGGAAGGTTTGGGAAGGTTTGGGAAGGGAAGGGAAGGTTTGG